AAATCCCCCCTTATGTAATTATACATGGAGATCATATCCCCCCTTATTATATTATACATGGAGATCATATCCCCCTTATGGATTATACATGGAGATCATATCCCCCCTCCTTATGTATTATACATGGAGATCATATCCCCCCCTATGTATTATACATCGAGATCATATCCCCCTTATGTATTATACATGGAGATCAAATCCCCCCTTATGTAATATACATGGAGATCATATCCACCCCTTATGTATTATACATGGAGATCATATCCCCCTTATGTATTATACATGGTGATCATATCCCCCCCTTATGTATTATACATGGGAGATCATATCCCCCCTTATGTATTATACATGGAGATCATATCCCCCTTATGTATTATACATGGAGATCATATCCCACGTATGTATTTACCATGGAGATCATATCCCCTCCTTATGTATTATATATGGAGTCATATCCCCCCCTTATGTATTATACATGGAGATCATATCCCCCTTTGTGTATTATACATGGAGATCCCCCTTATGTTACGCCCTTATACATGGAGAAGGGCCCCCTCGACCCCACGAATATGTATCTATACATGGAGATATTGTATATACATGGTGATCATATCCCCCCTTATGTATTATACATGGAGATCATATTCCCCCCTTATGTATTATACATGGAGATCATATCCCCCCTTATGTATTACATACATGGAGATCATATGCCCCCCCCTTATGTATTATACATGGAGATCATATCCCTTATCTGTATTATACATGGAGATCATATCCCCCGTTATGTATTACACATGGAGATCATATCCCCCCTCATGTATTTATACATGGTGATCAGGGGCAGCCTATCCCCCCTTATGTATTATACATGGAGATCATATCCCCCTTATGTATTTTACATGGAGATCATATCCAACCTTTTTGTATTATATGGCCGATCGCCCCTTATGTATTCTACATGGAGATCATATCCCCCTTATGTATTATACGAATGTATCATATCCCCCCTTATGTATTATACATGGAGATCATATCCCCCCCTTATGTATTATATATGGAGATCATATCCCCCATTATTGTATTATATGGAGATCATAGTTATTATACATGGAGATATCATATCCCCCCTTATGTATTATACAATGGAGATCATATCCCCCTTATGTATTATACATGGAGATCATATCCCCCTTATGTATTATACATGGTATTATACAAGGAGATCATATCCCCCTTATGTATTATACATGGGAGATCATATCCCCCTTATTTATTATACATGGAGATCATATCCCCCTCAGTTCTTACATGTGATCCTATCCCCCTATGTATTGTATTATACATGGAGATCATAACCCCCCCCCCTTATGTATTATACAATGGAGATCATATCCCCCCCTTATGTATTATACATGGAGATCATATCCCCCCTTATGTATTATTATCATGGTATCCCCCCTAATGTAGAGATTAGTACATGCTGTAATAGCTGATCCGAGTGTTGGAGATCAATATCCCCATGTTAGAGTTTGTATTATACATGGAGATCATAACCCCCCTTATTGTATTATACATGGAGATCATATTGTCCCTTGATGGATTATACCCCCTTATGTATTATACATGGAGATCATATCCCCCTTTATGTATTATACATGGAGATCATATCCCCTTAGTATTAATGTCCTCTTCTCAGTAGAGAATACATTCAGTACCACCTAATCCTCTAATCTTTCCTCATAGCTGAACATCTCCTCCATGCTTCGTATCAGTTTGGTTGCCCTTTTCTGTACTTTTCTTCAGTTCCCCAATGTTCTTTTTGTGAATTGGGTGCCCAAAACTGAACAGCATATTCCAGATGAGGGTCTTACTAATGATTTGTACCGGGGGGGGGGGGGGGGGGAGGCATAAGTATGATCTCTCTCTCGGGAGTCTATTCCTCTCCTAAAAAAAAGAGGATGTTGCTCTCTTTAGAACCCGCAGCTTGCATGCCATTATTAAGCTTGTGATCTAACCAGAACCCCTAAATCCTTCTCCACCATTGACCCCCCCACAGTTGTACCCACCTAGTATGTATGATGCATATTCTTAGCCCCCAAGTGGCAGAACCTTACATTTATCAACATTAGCCCTCATTGGCACCCCCATAGTCCCCCCAATTACACAGAGCATTGAGGTCCCCGGCTTGTAAGTTTGGAGACATCCTGTAAGGACGTTATTCCCGGACAGAATGCTTGGTGTCATCTGCAATCAAAGACTGAGAGAATGGGATTTATAATCTCAGACCCCATATTGTTTTATACAATATATTAAAAAAGTAAGGGTCCCAACACTGAACCTTGGGGTACCCCACTAATGACACTGAACCTTGGGGTACCCCACTAATCACACTGAACCTTGGGGGTACCCCACTAAATAACACTGAAACCTTGGGGTACCCCACTAATAACACTGAACCTTGGGGTTCCTCTATAATAACACTGAACCCTGGGGTACCCCACTAATAACACTGAACCTTGGGGTACCCCACTAATCATACTGAACCTTGGGGTACCTCACTAATAACACTGAACCTTGGGGAAAGGGGAAAACCCCGCTAATAACACTCACAACCCTAGGCCATTCAGAGTATGAATCATTAACCACTACTCTCTGAATACCATCTTTTAGCCAGTTTTCTATTAATTTTACATTCAGATTTTTCCACGCCACACACCCCCATAGACTTTACCTTACACCATTAGCCGTCCGTGGTGTAGGGAACTGTGTGTCCCAAAGTAACCACGTCCACCGCCACCCCTCTGTCCAAGTATACCACGTCCACTGCCACCCCTCTGTCCAAGTATACCACGTCCACCGCCACCCTACCCCAATGTCTTTTTCAAGTTATAACCATGTCCCACAACCACCCACTCTGTCCAAGTATACCATGTCCACAGCCACTCCTCTGTCCAAGTATACCATGTCCACCGCCACCCCTCTGTCCAAGTATACCACGTACACTGCCACCCCTCTGTCCAAGTATACCACGTCCACCGCCACCCCCCCTATGTCCAAGTATACCATGTCCACAACCACCCCTCTGTCCAAGTATACCATGTCCACAGCCACTCCTCTGTCCAAGTATACCACGTCCACAGCCACCCCTCTGTCCAAGTATACCACGTCCACTGCCACCCCTCTCCGAGTATACCACGTCCACTGCCACCCCCTCTGTCGAGTATACCACGTCCACAGCCACCCCTCTGTCAAGTATACCACGTCCACAGCCACCCTCTGTCCAAGTATAGCACGTCCACCGCCACCCCCTCTGTCCAAGTATACCACGTCCACTGCCACCCCTCTGTCCAAGTATACCACGTCCACTGCCACCCCCTCTGTCCAAGTATACCACGTCCACCACCACCCCTCTGTCCAAGTATACCACGTCCACCACCACCCCTCTGTCCAAGTATACCACGTCCACCACCACCCCTCTGTCCAAGGTTTTGCTCACCCCCTCATAAAAAGAAATCATATTTGTTTGACAACTTCTGTCTTTCATGAATCCATGCCGTCTGTTGCTTAAAAATATTTTTTTCCAGCAAGAACTCATCTATGTGGTCTTTTATTAAACTCTCCAGTATCTTCCCAAGATAATGTGTCCCTTTAATTGGACTTAGTGATATATGGATAGGATTATCCCTCTTTCCTTGGGGGATGGATGGAGTTTTCCCTCTTCCCAGCATGGGTTCCCTTGCTTCCTTATGGATTTTCCTGGAGCCGAATAGATGGACAGAAATATCCCTCTTCCCACTGGGGGGGTTCCACTTGCTTTCTCATGGATTTTCTTGGAGCCGAATGGATAGACAGAAATATCCCTTTTCCCGCTAGGGGGGTCCCCTCACTTCCCTATGGATTTTCCTGGAGCCGAATGGATGGACGGATATATCCCTTTTCCCGCTAGGGGGGGTCCTCTTGCTTCCTTATGGATTTTCCTGGAGCCGAATAGATGGACGGAAATATCCCTCTTCCCACTAGGGGGGATCGTGGGATATGATCAACTAACTGGCTCCAACATCTCCCTGAGGATTCGAGCAGGTCTCCACCACAATCACCCAGCATGTATATACATATGTCAAATCCAACACAACAAACACTTTACTCCTGCGCTAGGAAAAGACTCAGTAGACCCAATAGGAATGTTCTGGAATTTTCTGGAATATGCACTGCTTGATGTCAAAGCAGATAAGATACTGCATAGCCCTGTATCAAATAACAAAATGTCACTTTTAATAAGCAAATATACTTACAGGAAGAAATAACAAAGATCACAACACATCAAAAACATGGCATCACCACCCGGCCTCTGGCATGTGCTATGGTGTCACAGATAGGTTCTACCCAATGCGTTTCGTGTGAAAACATGTCTTCAGGGGGAAAGCTGCAAGTTGCCATTTAGTGAAGCATATCCCAGGCTACTGTTGTGATCCATGATTCATCTATGCCAGATGGACCTCTTAAAAATCTGTGTTAGAGAGCCTGGGTTCCGAACCTGGGTCTTCTGCAGGGAGTGGCAATGTTTCTTCTTGTTGAACCACCTGGAATGCTGGACAGCTTATTTGACAATTATTTGGACAATCCTGCCTTGACCTTGTTTATCATGAACCTTGACCCCTTGCTCCTCCCATGAACTTCCTGATAGAAGCCATGTCTCTGCACTTCCTGTTTGCCAGATTATTGTGCTCTCCAGCCAGTATCGTGCTCCTTATCGTCTCTGCTGTTATCAATATTTCGCTATCACTCCTTATTGACCCTTGGCTTGTTCTCGACTATGCTTCTGCCTGATCCCAACCTGCGACTGCTCATTGCCGACCTTGGCTTGTTCTCGACTACGCTTCTTCCTGATCCCAACCTGCGACCGCTCATTGCCGACCTTGGCTTGTTCCCGACTACGCTTCTGCCTGATCCCAACCTGCGACCGCTCATTGCGACCTTGGCTTGTTCTCGACTACGCTTCTGCCTGATCCCAACCTGCGACTGCTCGTTACCGACCTTGGCTTGTTCTCGACTACGCTTCTGCCTGATCCCAACCTGCGACTGCTCCTTACTGACCTTGGCTTGTTCTCGACTATGCTTCTGCCTGATCCCAACCTGCGACTGCTCATTACTGACCTTGGCTTGTTCTCGACTACGCATCTGCCTGATCCCAACCTGCGACTACTCATTACCAACCTTGGCTTGTTTACTGACCACGCTTCCGTTTGATCTTTACCTGCTTATACACTACTGGACCTCTGCTTGCTCACCTCCTGGTGGGGTAATCCTGAGGACTGCGACCTGGTAATAACACGCTGCAAAATTCATCTCCACCATCAGGAGCTCTGATGAACACCGGTTGGTACTTAGACTCCTCACCTTGGGTGATCCCACTCCTCCGCCACAGTGACCTGCCTGTGTACCTATCCTGCTGGTTTCAGGTGAGCCTTTCCACTGCTATAGCAACTGGCCTTTGAGCCTGACCCCTGATTGTGACAATCTGACATATGACAACCTAGGTCAAAATTTGGAGGAGACTGTGTTCACAGTTGGAAGATCATCGAAGATTCCTTTGCTGTCCACCTTGAATTTGTTGGAAAAAGACCTTGGACTTGATCCTGACACACCTCCATGGAAGGTTCCTTTAGCTGATCTGTTTACTAGAAAATCTTCCGTATTATAACTTACACAGAGCACCACGTCCTGGAGCGAAGGGGACCTACAAGCTCACGTACAGAGAACTGTGTGCTGAAGTTGGTGAAAGACTTCTTTCCTGCCCATGTGGTACCTGCTGCTGTTGTGGGGTCCAGATCTGCATTGCTGTGAGACCTGAAGACCCAGCTGTTATGCTGGGAGGGAGAGTATCTGCATCCAGGATGTCTACTGATTCACTGTTGCTGTATTCAGGACTGCTGCCATCAACCTCAGAGACCAGCTCCCACTTAAATTTTGTGACTTTGTATTGGATTCCCCAGGAAAGGAAGGGATCTGCTTGACGGACTTCAGAGATACTTTTGGCCACCATCTTAATTACATACCTTTCTTTTCTGAGGAATGTTTCCCCTTGCTCATTTAATTACAAAAGTCTTTTATAGCGCACCAATGTATATTCTGGGCCCCATGCCGGCTATCGACAGACAGTTACTACTGGCCAGTGGGAAGATGATTGGGAGGAACTGTGTTTCATAGCCTCTATATGTTCATACTTACCTTTCTTTCTACATATTCTTCTGTCCTTTTTTTTCCTTTTACCTCTTCTTTTCCCAAGAGCCTATTTCTGGTACCATTCACTGCCCACTATCACAATAACATTTCTGATGTCGTGGGACATCATTGATAGTTCTCAGTGTTGATGCCTATATATTTATCAGTGCAACTTGGATGTTCAGGTTCTCTTTAGCTATGTTACATTGTTACATAGTTTGGCTGAAAAAAGACAAAAGTCCATCCACTTCAACCATAGAAAAGAAAAAGTTATAATCCTACACTCACAGTGTATCCAGAGGAAGGCAAACAAAACCCAGCAAAGCATGATCCAATTTGCTCCTGCAGGGAAAAAAATCCTTCCTGATCCCCCGAGAGGCAATCGGATATTCCCTGGATCAACTTTCCCTATAAATGTTATATCCAGTTATATTCTGTGTATCTATGTATTTGTGATCATTCTCTTATGGATAATATTGCATTGCCATCTGACTGTGTATCTGAACTCCTGAAATTGTTCATAAAAAATATATTCAACATTAACCCCTTCAATACCGGGCACTTCTACCCCCTTCCTGCCTACAGGGCACTTCTACCCCCTTCCTGCCTACCGGGCACTTCTACCCCCTTCCTGCATACAGGGCACTTCTACCCCCTTCCTGCCTACAGGGCACTTCTACCCCCTTCCTGCCTACAGGGCACTTCTACCCCCTTCCTGCCTACCGGGCACTTCTACCCCCTTCCTGCCTACCGGGCACTTCTACCCCCTTCCTGCCTACCGGGCACTTCTACCCCCTTCCTGCCTACCGGGCACTTCTACCCCCTTCCTGCCTACCGGGCACTTCTACCCCCTTCCTGCCTACCGGACACTTCTACCCCCTTCCTGCCTACAGGGCACTTCTACCCCCTTCCTGACTACCGGGCACTTCTACCCCCTTCCTGCCTACCGGGCACTTCTACCCCCTTCCTGCCTACAGGGCACTTCTACCCCCTTCCTGCCTACAGGGCACTTCTACCCCCTTCCTGCATACAGGGCACTTCTACCCCCTTCCTGCCTACAGGACACTTCTACCTCCTACCTGCCTACCGGACACTTCTACCCCCTTCCTGCCTACAGGGCACTTCTACCCCCTTCCTGCCTACCGGGCACTTCTACCCCCTTCCTGCCTACCGGGCACTTCTACCCCCTTCCTGCCTACCGGACACTTCTACCCCCTTCCTGCCTACAAGGCACTTCTACCCCCTTCCTGACTACCGGGCACTTCTACCCCCTTCCTGCCTACAGGGCACTTCTACCCCCTTCCTGCATACAGGGCACTTCTACCCCCTTCCTGCCTACAGCACACTTCTACCTCCTACCTGCCTACCGGGCACTTCTACCCCCTTCCTGCCTACAGGGCACTTCTACCCCCTTCCTGCCTTCAGGGCACTTCTACCCCCTTCCTGCCTACCGGGCACTTCTACCCCCTTCCTGCCTACAGGACACTTCTACCCCCTTCCTGCCTACCGGGCACTTCTACCCCCTTCCTGCCTACAGGGCACTTCTACCCCCTTCCTGCCTACAGGGCACTTCTACCCCCTTCCTGCCTACCGGGCACTTCTACCCCTTCCTGCCTACAGGGCACTTCTACCCCCTTCCTGCCTACAGGACACTTCTACCCCCTTCCTGCCTACCGGGCACTTCTACCCCCTTCCTGCCTACAGGGCACTTCTACCCCCTTCCTGCATACAGGGCACTTCTACCCCCTTCCTGCATACAGGGCACTTCTACCCCCTTCCTGCCTACAGCACACTTCTACCTCCTACCTGCCTACCGGGCACTTCTACCCCCTTCCTGCCTACAGGGCACTTCTACCCCCTTCCTGCCTTCAGGGCACTTCTACCCCCTTCCTGCCTACAGGGCACTTCTACCCCCTTCCTGCCTACAGGACACTTCTATTCCCCTTCCTGCCTACCGGGCACTTCTACCCCCTTCCTGCCTACAGGACACTTCTACCCCCTTCCTGCCTACCGGGCACTTCTACCCCCTTCCTGCCTGCCAGGGCACTTCTACCCCCTTCCTGCCTACAGGACACTTCTACCCCCTTCCTGCCTACCGGGCACTTCTACCCCCTTCCTGCCTACAGGGCACTTCTACCCCCTTCCTGCCTACAGGACACTTCTACCCCCTTCCTGCCTACCGGGCACTTCTACCCCCTTCCTGCCTACAGGGCACTTCTACCCCCTTCCTGCCTACAGGGCACTTCTACCCCCTTCCTGCCTACCGGACACTTCTACCCCCTTCCTGCCTACAGGGCACTTCTACCCCCTTCCAGCCTACAGGGCACTTCTACCCCCTTCCTGCCTACAGGGCACTTCTACCCCCTTCCTGCCTACAGGACACTTATACCCCCTTCCTGCCTACAGGGACACTTCTACCCCCCTTCCTGCCTACCGGGCACTTCTACCCCCTTCCTGCCTACAGGGCACTTCTACCCCCTTCCTGCCCACAGGGCACTTCTACCCCCTTCCTGCCTACCGGACACTTCTACCCCCTTCCTGCCTACAGGACACTTCTACCCCCTTCCTGCCCACCGGGCATTTCTACCCCCTTCCTGCCCAGGCCAATTTTCAGCTTTCAGCGCTGTTGCACTTTGAATGACAATTGTGCGGTCATGCAACACTGTACCCATATGAAATTTTTATAATTTTTTTCACACAACTAGAGCTTTCTTTTGGAGGTATTTAATCACAGCTGAGTTTTTAATTTTTTGCTAAATAAAACAAAAAAACACCTGCAACTTTTGAAAAATAAACGCAATTTTCTTTGTTTCTGTTATATGCAAATAAATAAAATGTCTTCGTAAATTTAGGTCAGAATGTATTCTGCTACATTTTGTTGGTGAAAATAATAATAATAATTGAATTTGTATTTTTTTTTCAAATGTTTCTATTATTTTATTTTATTTTTTATTACATTTTTTCTTTTTTTTTACTATTTTATTTTTCAGCACACTGCCACCGAAGCAATACAACGTTACCATAGTAACATTGAACTACTCTGGGCAAGTGATCGGGATTTTTTTTTTTTTAACACATTATGATAATACCGATGTATTTCATTGATATTTGCAATCATTGTTACTGAATGAAATGGATTCAGTCTTTTGTTGTAATTAGCTATGATTGGGCAAAGCTGATCACATGTTACAGATGTGCTGTGATTGGATCTGTCTGTATCATGTGACTGCCTTGACCAGTCACAGCTAACAACATAATTGTATACAATGGATGGCATGATAGGAAGCTATCCATTGTATACAATAGACATGTGATCTGCTGTGATTGGTCACCGCGGTCACATGACACTGACAACGGGCCTTTGTACTGATATGTCATCGGCTGTGTCCCGTGGACAGATCGCGCCACTGCGCGGCCCCTCAGCAGCTCGTTTTGACAGGACGTCATATGACACCCAGTCGCAACGAGGAGTGTCCCACCCGGCCGTCAATCAGCTATAGGCCAGGAGGGAAGGGGTTATACTTACCTGTTGTATGCAGTGGTTTTGCACAGAGCAGCCTGAATCCTCTTCAGGTCCCCCGCCGGCGCTCCTGGCCCCTCCCTCCTGTTGGGTGTCCCCACAGCAAGCAGCTTGCTGCAGGGGCACCCGCTGCTCTGTGTGTCCAATCACACATGTAGCTGCGTCTCAACCCTGCCCCCTCTCTCTTCTCATTGGTACACTGTCTCATCCAATTAGGAAGAGGGAGTCCCAGATAGCCAAGACTCCGTGGTACACATCTCTGGATTGAGAGGGGGCTTAGGTGAGTATTAGAGGGGCTGGGGGGGATGCTGCACACAGAAGGTTTTTTACCTTCATGCATAGAATGTAAAAAGTCTGGAGCCTTTACAACCACTTTAAAGTAGTATTAAACTGTCAGTTTTTAACATTTCTAGTCCAGCACTTGCAGTTTAGAACTTTCAAAGCGGGGTCCGCTCTCCCCGGACCCCACATTCACTATATCCGCTCTCCCCGGACCCCGCATTCACTATATCCGCTCTCCCCGGACCCCGCATTCACTATATCCGCTCCCCCCGGACCCCGCATTCCCTATATCTGCTCTCCCCGGACCCCTCATTCAATATATCCGCTCTCCCCGGACCCCGCATTTACTATATCCGCTCTCCCCGGACCCCGCATTCACTATATCCGCTCTCCCCGGACCCCGCATTCACTCTATCCGCTCTCCCCGGACCCCGCATTCACTCTATCCGCTTTTGGCTCCTGCTCTCTCATTGCTGCTTCTCTGAACTTCCAGTCTTCACAGGAAAAAGTT